TAGAATGGCAACCCTTCTCTACATTTTCGTTCAAGAATCATCTCGATATCTCTTTTATCAAGGAAGATACACAAGTTTAAATGTAACGAATTTTTATTAACATTTTAAACAAGTAGGTGAAAACTAAAAAACACTACATAATCCTTAATCAATTCTCTCAAAATCACCTAATAACGTGTATTTCCGCCTCTCTTACGTATCACTTCTTCACAGCGACGAGGCATACTTAAAATCAAGCGTCGAATTTGATCTTGATCAATTGCATCCCAAACCTCTCTTACCATCCTCTCAACGTCGTCCAAAACGATAGGTGGTGGATGTCGGCCCCTTAACTGACGATCAATATTATCCCATAAATTCTCTATTGGATTGAGATCAGGGCTACAGGGTGGCCAGTCCATGGTTTGTATACCAACTTCATCCAAATAGTCACGGACCGTATAGGCAACATGAGGTCTTGCATTATCATGCATTAATAAAAAATTATTTCCTATGTAAGGAGCAAAGGGTACCACGTGTTCCGATAAAATGTCTGTAATATACCTTTCACCTGTTAATGAACCTCTTCGCAAAGAAACAAGGTCTGTTCGTGCTGTAAGCGAAATTCCACCCCAAACCATTACAGATCCTCCATTAAATAAAGTTGTCGGTCGTATGTTGCACTGTGCATAGCGTTCATTGGGCCGTCGAATTACTCTTAAACGTCTATCTGAGCTGTATAAACAAAACCTTGATTCATCTGTGAACAGTACTTGTTCCCAGTCAAGATGTTTTCTGCCAAATTGCAATCTCCTTCTACGACGATTTGCGTTTAAATTTGGTGCTCTGGCAGAAATGCTTGCATGCAAATCATCTTCGGCGAGATGCCTTTGTACAGTATTAGTACTAATTCGAATATTATGAACATCTGCTACTGTATCTGTAAGTTTCTCATTGTAACAAAACGTTCTCTTAAAGCACGAAGTCTAATAAAACGATCTTGGCGTAGTGTTGTGACTCTCCTCCTTCCTTGTCCAGGTCGTCTTGTATGATCATTTGTCTCTTGAAATCGTTGAACGGCACGTGATATTGTTGTATGAGGAACTCCTAATCTCAAGCCTATTTCACGATAACTTATTCCTTCATTGGCTAAAGTATGTCTTGAAATACGGTCCATGTCAAATAAACACTTAATAACCCAAAGCAGCAACTTGCTAAATGCGTAAATAAAATTGTTTCATTAGTAAGGACTATATTTCAACAAAANTAGAACAACCATTTACAGATTTAAGCAATATGCTCAAAACTATTCCAGCGGTATCACTATCAGTGATTAATGCTCGATACCAGATTGTACTGCCTGAGCGGCAGTCCTGGATCGAAAATGAAAATTCTCTGGTTCAGGCAGACATTTGCTTGTACAGGGTGTCCCAATTTCGATGTCCGCATAGGCTATCTCCGAAAGTAAAAGAGATAGAAAAAAAGTAGCTTACATGTCATGATCTCGTTTTTCGAGAAAATGCTAATGCCGAAAACTCCGAACAGCTATCGTCTTTTGTTTTCGCCCTATCGGCAAAAACTGAAAATTTTGCAAAAACGACAATCGCGAATATCTCACTTATTATCAAAGATGGAGTATTATAAATAAAACATTATATGGGCAACTTTTTACGAAGAATTCAGTGGCGTAGGTAGAATTTTTTTCCCATCTTTTATTTTCGAGATTTTAGACGTAACTTTATTTTTTTAAATGGAAACCATAGTTGGCTATGACTTAAAATAATTTGTTATTTTCTTCTGATAACAAATATATATAGTTTGTGGGGTATATTTCTTATAGTTATTGAATAATTAACAAAAATTCATTTTGTTCTATCTAAAACTAATGTATGTATTTAAAAGTTAATGTTGCTATGGTGATAACCATACATACTATGATGGAATATAATGTATCAATTTTTTTTGTTCTTTCTAAAACTATTGTATGTATTTAAAACTTAATGTTGTTATGGTGATAACCATACCATGAGGGAAAGCATTGTTTCCAATTATTGCCAAAGTTTGTAGCAAGGACAGTAGAATCTAACAGGACTGCTACATCCATTGTATTTTTGTAGTCGACTACGGGTTGGTTGCCCGCACTCTACGTCACACTATTTGCCACGCCTGATAACTGTCTATGTTTTTAGAGGTTATATGATAGACATTAATACGTCTAAAAACATAAAACTTCAAAACTAATATGAATACGTCTAGGATATAACCTCTAAAAACACACAGCAAACGCATAGACCATAACAACAGCTGGGCGTGGAAAATGGTGTGACGTAGTTTGCGGGTAGGCTGTCACAACAATGGATGTAGCAGTCCTGTTAGATTCTACTGTCCTTGAGTTTGTAGTAGTATTTAAAAATTCACTAACAACTCTGGCATTATGTGCTGGTGCTCCGTCATATTGAAAATATATCATTTGAGACATATTTAGTGGCAAATTGTCGACCAAAGGCTCAATGTGCTGCCTTAATATATTGAGGTATTTCCCTGAGTTTAAGTTTTTATGGTAGATACTATATGCCAAAATTCTATTATCTAAAAGGGCACACCATACATTGAACCCCAATCTTCTTTGAACACTCAGAGACTTCATCGGTCCAGATAACATTTTGAACAAACAGCAGATTATTTAATTTTTTTAAATATCATCTACAAAATTCTAATCTTCGATTGACATCTCCGGCACGTAAATAATGAGTTAGCCCCGCTTTGTATGGTTTATACTTATTTTTCTTTCATATTCGGGAGCAGCGGCTTTTGGGTCAGACGTCTTGTTGCAATTTCTCTTGCAGGTCATTTTGGTATGTTTTTGTATGTGGTTTGGGGAAGGACCAAATATCTATTAAATTTTCTGCTAACCGGCTGAAGGTTCTTACGTGCGGTTGTCTTCTTTCTGGATATCTTGTGAAATAAAATTCCGCGGCTAACGTCGCATTCTTATCTGATAACATATAGCATTCCATCATGTTACATTTTTCATAATTTTCGAAATTCATTGTAAAGTTTTATTCAGTTTTGTTATACTTTGACACTTAACATGCTGGTGCATCGTACCAGCACATAATGCCAGAGTTGTTATCGAATTTTTAAATACAAACTTTGGCAATTAATTGATACATTATGTTCCATCATAGTATGTATGGTTATCACCATAGCAACATTAACTTTTAAATACATACATTAGATTTAGATGGAACAAAATGAATTTTTGTTAATTATTCAATAACTATAAGAAATATACCCCACAAACTATATATATTTGTTATCAGAAGAAAATAACAAATTATTTTAGGTCATAGCCAACTATGGTTTCCATTTAAAAAAATAAAGTTATGTCTCAAATCTCGAAAATAAAAGATGGGAAAAAAATTCTACCTACGCCACTGAATTCTTCGTAAAAAGTTGCCCATATAATGTTTTATTTATAATACTCCATCTTTGATAATAAGTGAGATATTCGCGAATGTCGTTTTCGCAAAATTTTCACTTTTTGCCGATAGGGCGAAAACAAAAGACGATAGCTGTTCGGAGTTTTCGGCATTAGCATTTTTTCGAAAAACGAGATCATGACATGTAAGCTACTTTTTTTCTATCTTTTTTAGTTTCGGAGATAGCCTATGCGGACATCGAAATTGGGACACCCTGTACACAGATGGATCAAAAACGCCTGAAGGGGTAGGAGCAGGAGTATACTGCCAGACACCTCGAATTAAGCAAGCCTACAGCCTGGGTACGTACTGTACTGTATTCCAGGCGGAAGTATTTGCTATTGACATGGGTGCTAAAATCCTGCTTGAAAGAGGGGTGAAGAACATAACAGTACGAATTTTCTCAGGCAGTCAAGTCGCTCTCCAGGCGCTGCAAGCTGTGAAAACGGTGTCGGCTCTGGTTAATGATTGTAAGAGAACATTAAACACACTGAGTTGTGATAACAGTGTCTCTCTGATCTGGGACCCGGGTCACTCTGGGGTTGCTGGCAATGAAGCGGCAGATAAGCACGAGATGGCAGCGCTGAAGCGTTTGTGGGGCCGGAACCAGCAGTTGGTGTATCATTTGCGATGGCCAAATATAGGATTGGACTGTGGGCTGAAGAGAGGCTTCGCCTACTGTGGACCAGTTAATGTTCAATGAGACCCGGGAATATTTTAGGACTTGCCCGTAGTAGCATAAAAGTTCTAATGGGTGTTTTTACTGGGCACTGCCGATTAAAAGCACACCTCAACTTGTTGGGTTTAGCCGACTATGTGCGGAGGAAGCAGAGACGGTTGAGTATGTTTTATGCCACTGCGCAGTTTATCTCCTCAAAAGATCTGAATGACCTTTCGCCGAGCAAGGTATTAATGTTCGTTAAGAGCATTGGACTGCACGGTGAAATTTGATAACGATATCTATCAGGGTACAATAGATCCTTAGGGTCGCGGCGCATGGTTGGTTGGTCCGCCTACCCGATATGTATTCTATGTAATGTAATGCATAATTTAGGTGATGCGATAATTTTGGAGAGTAGTGTATAAAATTAATCGATTATAAATATCAATTTAGTCGTAAAATTTTATTTTGATTACATTTATACAGTTATTGTAAATGAAAAAGCTAAATAACTTATTTTTAAAAAACAATTAAAAGGAAGTTATTAAAAAAAGTTTCATTTAACTTTCTATTTTATTGTTTTTAAACGCTAATATTATCGTTATAAAGACTTATTTTGACAAACACATTAAATATAATGACAAATTAATTATATTGAAGGATCTAAGTACCACCTTTTCATGATTTTTCTTCAAATTTATCGATAATTACATTCTAATCACGTTGAAAAAGAACTTTATGTATCGTAGATAAATCAGGAACGAGTTTATTTGAATCAGAAATTGTTGATTTTCTTGACACCGATCTAAAAATAATATCGCTTTATAAATTTAACAAAAATTAAAAAGATTTATACCCAACGGGTGCAATGGCTGGTGCCGTAGGATTATTAATTGGCCTTTTATTAACCAATAAACACTTCATAGGTTGTCCATCCAATTGTCGGTTGTGATAAGTTTCCACAGCTTTTTGTGCATCCTTCAAATCTTTATAAATCACTTCCGCCGTTCCAGGTCTTACTAATCTTGCAACTAATAATTCGCCAATATCCTCAAACAATTCTCTTATATCATCTTCAGTTACACCACCTTGCAAATTAGAAACGACAATTCTATGTCCAACAGGTATAACAACTTTCGTTTTTATTCCACTGGCAAGGACTCCGTGAGATTGTTGTGGTGCCGGGAGTGTATCTAATCGAGAATGTATACTCATTTTTATCGGTGTGGTTCTTAGCGGAGCAACTAATGGCATTTCTTCATCATCAACCGCATCTAAGTCAACGTAACCTGCAAGTCTTTTAGAATTAAAACGTAAATCTGAAGGGTTATAATTTCGTCTTGGTTCTGAAGTTTGCGGGATAATATCAGGATGGACCCATCGATATAAATCCGATTGATCAAATGGATAAGTTTGTACAGGCAAGGTATAATCGTTTAATATGGTTTTTCGAATAACTGGTGGTACAAAAGGTTGCTTAACAGACGGAATTGGTCTTTTTGGGGAAATTTTTTTGGGAGATCTCGATTGTAAGAGTCCTAATTGCTGTTGTATTGCTACATTTAAATCATTCAATTTTGGTTTGTTTGTTACTAATGAGATTTTTCCATTTCTATCCGTTTTTTTCATAATACTATTACCAATATATTTCACATCTCCAGATCGTTTTTGACGCATTTTTTCCAGTTTGTTTCTAGCATCTTGCTTTTTTGCCATATTCGCAAGGATATCTCTTGCATCTCTTACATTTTTACGTTTCGATTGAATTAATTTTTGACGTGCATCTGCTACGTTTGGTTTTATTTTAAACGTTCCTAACCGTTTTTTAATATTCTGAGAAGGCTTCATGTTTATACGATTTCTGAAAAAGATTTTAATACAAACTAAATAACCTAATTGTTTTTAATGCCTAAAAATAGGTGTATATACCTACCTAGCTTTTACCATTATCTTTTATGTGTATAGAAGAGTTATTATATGTTTAGATTTACGTTTTTATAACTAAGCCTAGTTACAACACCATGCACCACCACTAATTTATGAAATTTCCGAGAGCTGTCAAAATGGCTTTTGGGTTAACTGTAATGCCGGCCTGTGATTGGTTAAGTGCCCACCAGAGTTTAAATTTGTACTAAATGACAATGCTTCTAATTTATTTTATCGCACTAATTTATTTATAAACAATTTATTTTTGTGTTATGATCTTTAAAAATTAATATTCTAATTATATTGTTTTAATTAATTAAAACAACCAATGCAATTTTGAAATGTCATTAAATGAATGTCAAATGTCATTAAAATGACATTTAAAATGAAACACCATTAGTTTTAAATCCATAATTAATTTTGTTATGTTAAAAAATTATACTATAAGGTAAATTAAACTCAATTCCCTATTACATCCAATAAAGTTTTAAATTTTCATTTAGCAAACAGGAAATTTAATAATTTCAATCTTCTGCGCGCAAGCGCTGAAGGTATAAGCAACGTCAATCGATGGCAAAACAACTTTTACCGGATTGTTCGGTGTTTTAAAAACACCCACTCCGCATTGTGATAAGATTAGAACGTATTTAAAGATACTGTACTATTTTATTTGCAAGTAATTTGACCAAAAATGGTGTTTTTAACAGCTGTTGCTCGAAATTCTCGATACATTCATAGCAAAACTTTGGAAAGTAAGTATTTCTTTCTTCTTAATACTTTTCGATCAGTTCTACTTATCTAATTATTATAATTTTTATAAAAGTCAAGATGATAATTAATAATTTTTTAAACAACTGTCACTTAATTTCTGTCAATATTTAATTTAACGCCATCTAGCGGCACAATAAAAAAAATCCTTTTTTAAATTTATAATTTGATTTTTTTTTAAATATTGCCAAGATTCGTTTATTGTTAGTGTGGAGCTTGTTATTTATATGGTGGTAAAAATATTTGCAAAAGATAAGAGATATAAATATAACTCGTGTTTGCCATTTTAAACCATTTATCTTTTATTTATTTTAACACATTACCGTCCAATTTGCAACTAAAAGTTAATTTTTTTTAAGATTTTTCCAAAGCTTTTGTACCATGTGAGCCCGCACAACCTTTAATGTGCAAGCCAGATAGCCCTGCTAGTAAAGAAATGTTATGCGAGTTAAATAAAGTACAGGTATGTAATATGTTGCACAAAAAATCATAATATTAACTCAAACATTTTTTAAGTATGCAGGAGCTGTTCAATTTTTCACCGATTTGGATAAATCAATGGGAAATTACATAGTAGATGCTGATGGTAACACAATTTTGGATTGTTACACACAAATTGCTTCTATGCCATTAGGATATAATTATCCAAGTCTTTTCAATGTCTTCAAAGATGAATCAAAAATGGTATTTTAACAACAGCTGATTTTCAAATAGATTAAAAGATTTTTTTTAGAAAATTCTTCTCAACAGAGTTGCTTTAGGTGTTTACCCACCGGTAAATTGGCATAATTATATAAACAATGTATTAATGAGTGTTGCTCCGAAAGGTTTAAAAAATGTTCAAACGCAAATGTGTGGAACTTGTGCTAACGAGCAAGCATTTAAAAACATATTTATTTGGCACGCAAATCAATCTAGATCAGGTTCAAAAGGATTTACTGAAGAAGAATTAAAAACTTCAATGTTAAATAAACCACCTGGTTGTCCTCAAGTGGCGATTTTATCGTTTGAAGGTGGATTTCATGGAAGAACAACCGGTTCTTTATCCGCAACGCGCACAAAACCAATTCATAAACTTGATTTTCCATTGTTAAGTCATTGGCCGGCTGCTAAATTTCCTCAATACAAATATCCTTTAGATGAACATAAATGTGAAAATTTAGCTGAAGATAAAAAGTGTTTGGCTCAAGTTGAAGATATTATTGAGAAACAACGCAAAAATGGATGCCCTGTCGCTGGGGTAATCATTGAACCTATTCAATCGGAAGGTGGTGATAACGAAGCTTCGCCTGAATTCTTTAAAGAATTACAAAAGATTTGTAAAAAGAATAAAATTGCGTTCTTAATTGATGAGGTTCAAACCGGATGTGGAGCAACTGGAAAAATGTGGTGTCACGAATGGTTTGATTTACCTCTTCCCCCTGATATTGTTTGCTTTAGTAAAAAAATGCAATTTGGAGGGTATTATCACACTGAAGAAATGCGGTACTTCTTTAACCCTTTTTATTTCAAATAAATCAATAAACTGTTTTAATTGTAGTCCAGATCAACCATACAGAGTTTTCAATACTTGGATGGGGGATCCTGCAAGACTTTTCATTTTAGAAGAGGTTATAAACGTAATTCAAACAGAACGTTTGCTGGATAGTGTCGAAGTGGTTGGATGTTACACCAAATGCGGATTGAGTGAACTTTGTAAAGAATTCCCAAATATTATTAACTCGGCAAGAGGACGTGGATTATTATTAGCGGTTAATGCTAAAGATACTAAAACTAGAGATACTATTTTATCTAAATTAAAATCAAAAGGTTAAATTCAAGCTCGAAAATTAATATTAATCTAACTAAATAATATTTTTTTGTAGGTGTTCTTGTTGGTGGTTGTGGATCATTATCGGTTCGTCTACGTCCAGCTTTAATATTCCAAAAAAATCACGCTGATATATTTTTGGATAAATTTCGCGAGACTTTATGCGAGATGCGCTGTTAAAGAAAATCTCGTTTTCCATAAAATTGCGTGGTATTTGTTGTCGGACTTAGCTCTAAAAAGAAATTGTTGTAACGTAATCTGTCTTCCAATCAAATCCATCCTATAGTAAGCCAAAAAGAACAATGGATGTGATTTCTCGTCTTCCAATATTTCTTATACTCTAACTATTTTGTCTTTGTATGTTTTAAATATACACATTTAATCGAAGAGAAATTTATTTTTTTTTTAACCCCACACTGTATTTTTGGTTTATAACTTCTAACACAAATATCATAAAATAATAGTATATTAAAGTAAGATACGTTTGAAATGCACGAATTCAAGTTGAAAACGAGTGTGATTCGCGTTTTTATCCTTTTTTTTCTCAAAAATAAAATAAATTTTGACAATGTAGGGAAATAGGTATCTAGCAGTTGGTAACACCGTAACACTTGAAAATAGAAATTTGAATTGACAACTAGAAACTGTCAAAACACAAAATGTATTCACCTGACAAAAATGTTTCATGTACACCTCCCAAAATAAGAGAAATTGCTCAGAGTTCAATGTCCTCATCATTGTGAATTTTTTATTCGATGCTAAGAACGTGTTTAAACATCCATAGACAAACATTGTCACATTGACAACTAGAAAAATTAATGACCCAATGTCACCAACTTGAACTGATTCCATAAAATGTTACTAAAATCTCATTACAGCATCGGACGCTGTAAAGAGTGTCATTACAGCAGCCGTTTGAGTACTGTAATAGTTTTCATTACCGTCGCGAATTACAAAAAAGTACTTTAGCACCGTATTATTTGCAATGTTTGAAGAAAAAATACTATGTTTTATTCGGAAGAGAAGCAGTTTCGTTTGTGGCTGGTCCGTCATTTTGCGATTTTTTTGCATAAAAAAGAGATGCTCTTTTCAAAATTTATATTTCATATCAAATGTACAGAGTTGAATTTAAAAAAATCATAACGACGAAGTTTACGATAGATAAGACATTATTTATGGTACATTAAACCTTCATAAAATTTGCTTTAAAATGTTCTTATTTCATGATGATATCTCAATTCGTTCTTGAGATACGACTTTTTTTTAAATTTATCCATCGTCTCGAGTGCTTCGTTTTAATTATTTGTTGGGCACCTGATTCTTTTGCAGGAAGTGTTGAACATTAAAATTCGATAGTGCGTTTTATTATAATAAAATGACGTAAGTTTTATTTAAAATGTTTCGAGAAAACGAGTAATTTTTTTATTGAAAGGTTGAGTTTTAAAACCAAAAAACGATTTAAAACCGCTTGGNGGAATCATCTTTATGGGCTTTTTTTTTGGTCTTGGTTAACCGTCCCATTAATATTTTGTATAAAACCAGATTGTGATCTCACAAACCATAAGAGATACAGAAATGGTTAAATGGGAGCAAAGTTGCGTATCTTATTGTTAGAGCTCATCATTTTTCAACAAAGTTTTTGGATCTAGCCGTTTTAGTTTTTAAAATATGGCCGACTTTTTCGTTTTTTGCCTATGACTTCTTTTTTCTTCAAACATACAAAACATACAAAAGAAAATAGGCGAGTTCCAGCTTGTACTAGTTAGTACAGCTGCTCTAACTAACCTAAGAAACAAAAAAAGAAAAACATGACTCGGCCAAAAATTACAAAGCAACAGCTAGATACAACAGCAAGATTGCAAAACATGTCAGATCAGCGTTTGCCCCCATGTAGACATTGTTCAAGAAAACAAGAATATTTCTGTGTAAATTTAAACCTTCGTAGTGAGAACCCCTTGCAATTATCGTCCACCTCATTATATCAAGTTGAAAAACGAGTGGCGAAGCCACGAGTTTTTTAATGAATGAGTGCTTTAAGTCTTATGAAACGTGTTTTTTATGCTATTTTTTGTGATTCGCGTTTTTATCCTTTTTTTTTCTCAAAAATAAAATAAATTTTGACAATGTAGGGAAATAGGTATGTAGCAGTTGGTAACACTTGAAAATAGAAATTTGAATTGACAATTAGAAACTGTCAAAACACAAAATGTATTCACCCGACAAAAATGTTTCATGTACACCTCCCAAAATAAGAGAAATTGCTCAGTGTTCAATGTCCTCATCATTGTGGACCTTGTATTCGATGCTAAGAACGTGTTTAAACATTCATAGACAAAAATTGTCACATTGACAACTAGAACTGGTTCCATAAAATGTTAGTAAAATCTCATTACAGCATCAGATGCTGTTACCGTCGCGAATTACAAAAAAGATATAACCAATTACAGTAAATCAAATGTTTATTCATTTAATATAAATGTTTAAATCACAAATATGCAATAAATTAGTCTTAAAAATGATATCTAGTTATTTGATTGTTACCTAGCCTCAATTTACAAATAACACAAAAATTATTGTTTAAAGTCAAACATTTCCGACAATAAACATGTTTACAAGTTGTAACATATAAAAAATTACTATTCTCACAACATCCACATTTATCCATTTTATTTAAATTAACCAAATTGCATTTATCATCACTTGAAAATCTAATAAAATTCTCACTGTTTAAAACAATATTATAAACATTGTCTAATTGAACACTTTTTTTATTGATCTCTTCACCTTTTAATTTTTTATTACTTTCTGATTCACCATCACAATATAAACCGGCTCTACCTAATGTACGTTTAACAGAAAATATCTCCTTTTGATTCGAATTTTGCAACAAAAACATATCAATGCGCGATTTTAACGCAACATTTAAAAGGGGCACTCTTTTCTGAGAAAATTTTAATCCGGTGAATGGGTCTGTTGGGTGTCGTCCGCAAGAAGCATCTGTTGAGTAACATTTTTCTAATGTAGTTTGATCAACTGTGTGTCCACTGGGTAAAGTCATAGGTAATGACATCACTTCGTAAGTAATTTCATCTAAAAATTCATCGGGAACTTTAAACTCTTTAGTTGAACAACTTGGTGTAGATTTTAATGGATTTCCATTAACAGTATTAGTTTTATTTAAAAGTTTATGAACTGTATCGATAGTTACTTGAGAACAAGTCTTTGAAATCAATCCCCAAATTTCAACTCTTCCCAAACACGGCGTTTTCATATTAGGTGTCTTTAAGATACGGATTCGAATACTTGAAGTGTTTAAAAACGTCCTAAATTCGTTTGACTTAAAAAACACTAAATGAAAGTCTTTATCTGTATTTTCGGGTCGCTTATTTCTCGAATATTTCCTAGCGTTACAAACTATGATTCCATCTTCATCGAAATTTGCTTTTGAAATGGTCACATATTGCGTTGTCGGGGTTTTAGCTAGAATTTCAACTCCAGATATCTTTTGATTACCATTTTTTGCATGTATAACTATATGAGATAAATTTATGTTGCAAATAAATTCAAAATCAACATCTACGGGTGGTCTTATAGTTGCGTATGCTATAAATCCTCTTCCTTTACGAACGAAATCAACGTGCACTAAATTTTCAACCTCAAAACCTTCTAAACAAGCCGTTTTTGTTGATACTTTTGGTAATAAAGTTGAATCTAAAAAATTGTACATTTTGTTTCTAGGTTATGTTGGAAGTATGACATATGACAAGAATAAAAAAACTATTGGTTGTTTTTTTATTAAAATAATAATAAATATTGCTAATTATATTAGAATTTAACAAATTTATTAAATAAATTAATTTATGCATCAAGTTAAATAAATAAATTTAAAGAAAAATTAAATTTTTAACTGTAAAAAGACATTCATTATTTATGAAAGAACATAGATGGCACTACAATGCTTCAAACAAAATGAGCGACGTTGCCTTATCGTTGTAAAATAAGCGTCGCGTCAAGAAAGAAAAATATCAGTTTAATTTTTAATTTAGAACTTGAATTAATTAAGTTTTAGTGAATTATTGAATCAGTTTTAGTGAATCATTTAAATGATGTTTTTTTGATGGTTAATTCAACGTTATTTTTGTTTGGAGGTTATGAACTTTCTGGTATTGGCGGTTAAAAGATGCTTCCATAAGGGCGCATGCGTAATTTAACGGATTTCCATTTTAAACGAGGAAAAAACAGCCCCAACCGTTAGTTTTAGTGTGTGTGATTGAAACATAAACAATCATAAACGAAATAAATATACAATGGCTAAAAGTCACGTTGAGTGTGGTTATTTAACGTTAAGAAGTCGAGGAAATGATCCTTTATATCCAATTTTTCGTGGAGATGTTATAACCATAGGCTCAAAAGACCAAAATCATATTCGGATCAAAGCAGAACTTGATAATAAAACTGACGCCGTTTTAACGGCATGTAAAGATACAGGATATGTAAGTAAAAAAATAATTATAAAATATAAGTAAATGTGGATTGTAATTTTCTTTGTATTTTAAGGTGGTGGTAACAAATCCGGAAAAAGCTCCAACAATATTAAATGAAAAACCCCTCACAAAGGCCCAATATTTAGTACCTGGCGATATATTACATATAAAAAACAAGTTTTTTGCTTACAACAATGATGCTTTAACGAATAAGGTATACATTGAAATTTTTATGTTTTAAATATGTTAGTAATGCCATAATTTTGTAGGAGATTGACAAATTAACTATTAAAAATGCTGGTCGTGTTCGTACCGCTCCGAAAATGAGGTCGTCTGCTATGTAAGCATACAAAATCTAACATAATGTTGGTTTTAATAATCTTATTTATTGTTAGATTGCCGGTATATGCGAAAGAAAAACCAAGAACAGAGACACCTATCCTTTCTGCAACTACATCCACATTTCAAGCAGATTATATTGCAGGTATTACACCATCAAGGTCAAATAGTACACATATTGTAAGGCAACCAAAAACTGTGAATTCGATTATGGAAAAAAGAAAAAGGTAATTTAACTTTTTTCATTAATAAATATGTTCAAATTGATAATAAAATGTAGTCCTGGTCAAAAATAACCCACTATAATAATAATTAATTCATACAAGAATTATATGGCTTGTCACATTCTATACATATAGTAGGTACAATAATACGATTTCGTATAATTTAGCGTCCTAACATTCTTCTACTGAATAAAATTCACCATTCAGTAGCAAACATTGCACTTTTTTTATGTCTTTTGCGTCATCAGTTTGATATTTTCTGGTCATTTATTATGCAGATAAACTCCAACTCTCTCCCATTGCTCCTTTGTCTCCTGTATAATACACACAAATATATATTCTGCTGGGATGGTCAGTATATTATATACAGAAATTTTATGGTTTCTCTTTCAAGTCGCGTACAAAACCTCATAATCTGTGTCTTCTCTCTATTTAGCATGATTTTATTGCTATTAAACCAAATTTCTGCGTCTTGCATTGAAATTACAGTTTTTCTGTGTGGACCTTCTTCTGTAATATTGTTACTTAAAAATGATATGTTATCAGCATTTATTGATAAATCGTTGGTGTATACAGGGTGATTCAAAAAACAGCTGACAGACTTCTAGGGCAGGTAATACAACAAAAATTAAGATGAAAAGTCTTAATATACATGGGGTCGCAAATGCCTCCTTAACGAGATATAGCGGGTCAAAGTTTCTTTAAAATTAAACATTATCTGCAATAAAAAGCCCTTTTTCAAAAATATTTTCAACTCCACTGCTAATTTTGTCAAACGTGCAGTATTTTCGTGTAAAGTAATCAATTATCTATTGATTTGATCAAAGTTTTGTAAGAGACCAATTAATAGATAATTGATCACTTTACACGCGTAGAGAGCAATGGCGTAGACAATATTTTTAAAAAAGTGTTTTTTATTGCAGATAATGTTTAATTTTAAAGAAACTTTTCATGTATTATTTACTCTAGAAGTCTGTCAGCGGTTTTTTGAATCACCCTGTATAATGTATAGCAAAGTACCAAACACTGAATTCTGCAGAACACCCACATGCACCACACTTTCACCGGATATTTCATTGTTCCACTCACTATATTGTGTACAGGGTGTCCCAATTTCGATGTCCGCATAGACCATCTCCGAAACTAAAAGAGATAGAAAAAAAGTAGCTTACATGTCATGATCTCGTTTTTCGAGAAAATGCTAATGCCGAAAACTCCGAACAGCTATCGTCTTTTGTTTTCGCCCTATCGGCAAAAACTGAAAATTTTGCGAAAACGACAATCGCGAATATCTCACTTATTATCAAAGATGGAGTATTATAAATAAAACATTATATGGGCAACTTTTTACGAAGAATTCAGTGGCGTAGGTAGAATTTTTTTCCCATCATTTATTTTCGAGATTTTAGACGTAACTT